TTATATAATGTTGACAATCTGTGACGCCGGAGGCACGAGGATGCGCAGCAGCCGATGTAGCGCGAAAGGGAGAGTGTCGGAGGATCACCCTCTCAGGGGGGGGGGGGGGCACCCCCATAAGTTTCAGTCTTCTGTAAACACTGTTTTGGCATATTTTACGGGGTTAAACTAAAACATCACACCAATACAATGTTTATCATGTTTAAGCCAGGGGTGCCGTATTCATATTTTTTCATGACTTTTACATATTGAATGTTACGCTTGAGTTATGAACAACAGGACAAAGAGAGTTTAGTAGGGGAATTTGAGGAGGATCCAAATGAAACAAAACTTGATCACATAACTTTAGTTTATGAGGATGCATATTTGACAATCACCTTGTTAACTACAATACTATATACATATACACATTGACATTTACAAGAATGTTGTATAGATATTTAAAGTATTTTGACAATTTTGCGTATTATAAATGGATTTCAAAAAGTAAACATAAGTGTTTGTGTTTTAATTTGTACATTGTTTTATACAGATAGAATCTTAACTAATCCTTATAATTGTTGTAAATAAATAGGAGTAAGGGCCTACTATGTGAATTTTTTTTTTTGGGGGGGGGGGGGGTCCAAGTATATTCAGCCCCCCCCCCCCAGAAAAACAATTGGTGCATGGAGCCCCCCCCCCCCCGAAAAACAATTGGTGCATGCCCCACCCCCTGGGACAGAGCCACGACCAATTTGTGTGTGTGTCTGCGTGTCGCCTACATGCCGCAATTCTTATCAGATCCTTTTGAAAATTAGCATACTTATTCCTTATACCTTAAGGATGATCCCTATTGTTTGTGGAGAATAACAGACCCCAGGGGCGGAGCCACACCCATTTTGTCCCTACGTGTGTCTATGTACTGCCTACGGGTCACAATTCTTAATGGGTCGCCTTGAAACTTGGCATGTGTATTCCTTATAGCCTAAGGACGGCAACTATTGATTTTGGTGCATGTCCCGAACCCCAGGGGCAGAGGAACGCCCAATTTTTGTTTATCGTATACAGGCCGTAATTATGAATGGATCATCGTGGAACTTGGCATATTTATTCCTTATACCGTATACATTTATAGTCTTTACTACTTTAGGGTTTGCTTGAAATAAGTTAAATATCTATTTCAGAAAACTATTATCTTTATTTAATTCTTGATCACATCTTTATCCATATGCTAATCATGCCGATTTACGAGTGTAAAGGAGACGAGTGATAGCTTACATTATTCGATTAATATAAGAGTGACTCAATCCCTGTTTCTTTGGAATGATGTAAGGGAGGTAACTATCAAAAAATGAAAGGTAAATGAACGCAAACCACCAAAACATTTATTCCTACGCTCCTTTTTGTTGAGCTGAACGCTCTCCACGACGTCGGCAATGATTTACCCCAATTTACCCTAATGCTTGTGTGACCTTGACCATAGAAAACTATACAGGATATACGGGATTTTGAAAAGGAGCGGGGGCTGTCAGTCTCAAAAGAATGTTTTCACCTTTTCTTACGATTTTTTTTTTCGAGAAAACCCCCAAATAAAAGGCAAAGTGGATTAAAAAGTGCAGTTTGTTACCGGTACATATTACATTTAAACAGCTTGTGCCTTTCATATTTCCGTTTCATATCTTTGCGCAATCGTAGTATGGTTTTGATTTCTTACCGATATGTGGAAACACCTATCATTCCCGGTAAAAGGGCATCAGAGCGGACACAGCCAAGGAAATGAAAAGTGGATTTAACGTCCTACTGTTCTGCTCTGACTAGGTTAATAGAGACGGGCATACGCCATACAGTGTGCTATGAGGGACATTTTGCCTACTCTTATATAGAATTCCAACTGCCAAGGGATCTTTTAAATGCACGCTAATGTGTACACGGGACCACGATTTTTCACTCCATTCCCAACAACTATACATTGTCCCTTCCCGGGCCCTCTGTCCTGCACCACTGACAAAGGGGTGCCATGCCGGAAAATACCGATGAAATTTCTCGGCCAAGCAGGGATTGAACACGGAACCTTCAGGTTAGCGAGCCAACATCTTACTCACTGAGCCACTGTGGCTTCCACAGACAAAAAAGTGTGTCCTAGCTCTGAAGCTTAATAATACAAATTTAGTTTGATATAAAAGCACAATCGTAGAAGTATTTTACGTTTTTATAAACGAGCAAAGCGATGCGAAACAATTTTTTATTAATAATTTTAATTTCCCCAATAAATTTCCAGTTCCGAGCAGGAAATAAACAAAACAAACCCCATGGTTCCCGCAGTCAATAACTGTTGGACAAGGGCAGTATTACGGTGGTCGTAATCTGTAATAGTGAAATGTCTGTATTAGTGAACACAGTTTATAAGGTATTTAGAAGAAGAAAATTAGTTATTTTAATATGTGGTCGTATACGTGAGTTATCGGTAATACCAAGTTGGTCGTTAAGCGGGATTTCACTGTAAATTGATGAGGAAGTAAACAGTGTTTATCCCGAGGGGCGTTTCTTACTCAAGTAGGTTTATCTATGATATCATATGGTTCAGTGTTAAGAAGGGATGTTGGACAAACAACGGGACAGACCAGAGGCGAAGGAGGGTAGGCCGACTAAACTTAGGGCGCCGGAAACATTTTGGTTCTGTGGCACATGCTAGAATAAATCTGAAGTATATCTGAGCCATGGCATTCCGTACCTTGACCCTTTGTTGAGGGATTATGATTAAATCCTGAAGATCTGAACATGAACATAGATAACAACAATCAAGAACTTAACGACCCATGAGTTCAGACAACAAGCATGGTATTCCTTACAAATTCCTTACAAAGGGATTCTTGCCAAATGGTACCTACCAAATTACATGTGATTCTGTTAGCTAATGAGGGGGGGGGGGGTAGCACTCCAGAGTAGAAATGAGATAACCCCAAGAACAAAAATATGACCAAGATTTAGACACCGACTGTGGCCCCGGTATAAAAAGTTTACTTTAAGCCTGACCAAGGACGTTACTGATGAACGAATGCATGTCATTAGGGTTCGTGGTAACTATTATTATTATTATTATTAGCGTATTGGGTTGTGTATGCTAGCAGCTATAAATATTCCAGTTGTCCTTCAGAGAAATTCATATTGATTGATTTTGATTTCTGAATATTATGGAAATATTAATCCGACCGTGAAATCTAATCTGAAAGCCATCAGTACAAATTGATTGGATGTTGAATCCCGAAATAAAATAACAAATCTCTCAAAATATCATCCCACTTCCTTTTCTCCAGCCCGTCTTCAGTAGCCCATTAGGAGCAGAAAAGTAGGACATTAAACCCCATTTCATTTCATTTCTATTTCTCCAGACATTTGTACCAAACTCTACACCTTATTGATTGTTATCCGTATAGCTGTATTGTGTTATACTTTTGGTCCAGGTAGGCCCGGCGGAGTGGGGGTTCTAGGGGGAGATTTGCCATTAATTTTGCCGCAAGTACTCCTTTCTCCAGGTTATTGCACGCAAGTAATTATGCTGTTAGATACGAGGCCTGATTTTAACATAGGGGTGAGACTTCTAGTACGTAGACTTTCAGTAGAAACCCCTGTTCATACTCCTCGCAGCTAATCCCACTGCTCACTGCTGTAAAGGGGGCAAATTCTTATTCTAAATTATGACTGGTCAATAGCCCGATTAACAACCAATAGCTAATTGCGTAACAGTACCAAACAGAGCTCCAAATTGGACCAAATATGTTTACATAACGTTACGTCATGACTCACGATTTTATTATGCCCAATTAACCAGTGCATAGCAGAATATTGCAGAAAAACTAATTGTGTGACAATTGAGACGAACAACACTTTCACCGTTTTTAATACCTTAAATCACTGTTCAAAGTTTTTGGGAAGGCCCCTGATTAAAAGAAGAGCTGTCGTGTTGCTGTGCTTGGGGATAGATTTGATTGAACGGGAAAAATAGACACACTCCGTCAAAAGCGCAAGTATCAGAAGCTAATCCAGCAATGGCCAGAGAGGGATTTCTCGGGTCATTGCTTCAGGAATATGAACCCTGCTGTGCTCTATACTGATCCCTGGGTTGAGAGACCTCCAGTTGCGAGGGTTAAGATTAGGTCATTTGATCCTTCACATATTTGTTAAGTTTCCTCAGAATGGGACAACAATTGTAGCCTCTGGAGGGCCTACAAAATCCATACATATTTCACATTAACTTTGCATAAAAAGCAGGGCCTATAGCTCTACAGGTCTTATGCGTAACAAAGTCGAACTTATCCAAGAACTTTTGATCCTTAACACATAGTTTAAAGGAGCTAAATCGCTAATATTTGGGACCTAGAAATTGACACAAGCTAAAAACGTGATATTTCGTACAATCAGGGTCATAATCCAAACAGTTTCAAAGTTTCAATACGCGCCCATATCGAAAGGAAACCAGACCTTTGGGATATATCAGATTGGATGAAAATTCGAACCTCTTAATGGTCCACAACCTGGGTATTACATGCTTTTAAGGGTAGCGGGGGTTTTGTAGGGCAGTTTTGGTCCGATATTCACGAAATTTGCATTCAACCGTAATTATGGTGTAACAGTGATAGGCCTATATTTGAACGGTTTTTACAATTTGCCAACTATAGAAGAAATAATAATTTTTGTTTTCACTTTACCTATCTGCATTATCAAGCATATCCGGTTTCTTTTGTACTTGTATTTAAATACTATATTTTTTTTTTTTTTTTTTGTATTATGAGTCATGAGGGCAGGATAGGCGGCTACCTACCCTCCCAGCACGCCTCTTGACCTAGGCTTGGACAGACGTTTTCATGGTTCTAGACATCTATTAATGAGCAGCTTAATTATGTATATTATATTTAGCTTGAAATTCCAGCATAGTTGCTTGGAAATACTGGTTGATATTTCAAGAAATGTTTTTATACACTATGTGGCTGTCTGAGTCCAATAGAGAGTTAATTCACGTGATGCATCACGTGGTCAGTTGATCGTTCATCACAAGAAATGTGTGCCAATCTTCTGTCATTACTAATGTAACTTTTAGCTTTGATTGTTACGTTAGACCTGAGTGTAGGAATTCAAGAAGGAAGGTAAGAATGAACGAGACCAGCCAATTCTTTGTCGTGATTATTTATTCTACTCACTCAGTCACTTTCACTAAATTTATTACCGTAATATTTACTGTCACTGTGGTAAGTCGTAATTTGTTTTTTGTATTTCCGTGGTTGTTTGGGTTGGCCAAGTCTAGTAGCGATTGGTGGGCTATATTTTACAAGAACACTTCATCTATCTTATCTATGAATATATCACAACGGTATATCCAGAGGCTTCACCGTACAAGCCATATCTGAGACAACGACTCCTGTCATTAGTAGGTCTATTACTATTAGTGCCGGACGCAGGACTTGTCAAAAAAAAAATAAGGGCGTTGTACAATAAACCGAAATCTGTCACTGACAACAATTCCCTTATAATATAGCACACTGCATGGCATGACTGTCTTAATTATTAGACAGGTTAAGGAAGTTTTAAAAGTTGAAAAACCCAATTTTATTCATTTGTAATTGAGTGATCCATATACCTACATGACTGATTAAGTCCTCGGTATTTTAATATTGTTGATAGCAACCTTGTATTCACATTTGAAATCTGTAGGCGCATACCAGCAAACACACCCTTGGTCCATGGCAAGTAGTTCCTTTAGGAACTATCTCTGATCAGACGATGTCCGCTGACAGTAACAGTTCCTATCGCTTTCTATATAGGTTCAATATGAAATTACTGCTCATTCCCCACCTTTGGTCTAAGGCTATTTTGGAATCCTTACCAACTATTTTTCATCTTTATTCTTCCTTGTTTACCAAAGGATTCATTTCTTGCCACAGCTGACACACATATAATAATTCAACACAATTTTCAAGCAGAATTTTGCGATTAAAAACATACACAAAATACGTTTGAACTGATCAGCCATTACGAGACTTGAACATGTGCAGACCGATGTTTATTTAATCGCTAAATTCTACTTGAAAATAGTGTTGAATTATTATAAATTCATGTCAGATATGACCAGAAATGATTCTGTTTGCGAAAAATAAACATTCTCAGTGAAATATAGAAGGTAAGGGTTCCAAAATAGCCTGAGAACAGAGGTGGTAGACGAGCGGTATTTTACCGTATTTTCATATTGCAGCTATATAGAAAGTGATGGGAACTGTCAGCGGACATCGTCCAATCAGAGACAGTTCCTAAAGGAACTTCATGGCAAGTTGTTCTAATGATAAACAAGTACAGTTAATGCTCAAATATTGTAGAAGACATACCAGCATGCTAATGTGGGACTAAACTCAGCATTTTAAAACTGCAACCTTTTTAAAATAGAAACCGAAATCAGAGAAAATTGGATATCAGTCGATCACCAGCAACGTTGACTTGTTCCCTGTCCTATAGTTCAGAGCCAACCAGCAACGAGGAGTGATCAATGGTTCATGTATGTTCATTGGTTTTAAGTATCATTGGATCTGGTTGGAACAAGGGAAGTAAGAAAAGAGAACACAATATTGTCATCAGGGTACTAATGTGGGCATTGTTTGACTATTGGAGCTAGATAAGTCTTTCAAAATCAATGGGTACTTTTTCACAAAGGAGGGTACATAGCCACACACACTTTATACCCTGGTTTGAAATTTCATCTGATTCAAGCATTATCAAAAATTTTTAGTTCCCTTTGTTTTTTGTATTTATGAGGGCAGATGCCCAACAGGCCCCTACCTAGCAATTTTGGTAATTTTTAAAGATAAGATTTAATTTTCAGATTTGAATTATGATAATTCAAGAAGTGAAAAAATAACCTGAATAGAACCTTAACAAGAAGATGTTGATATTACTTCTGTTTTTGTCTGGAGTTTGGTTAGAGAATGGTGGAGCACATGTGCTCAGATACAACATTAACAGCAACCCCGTCGCATCCAACCTGGATAGTTTCATACAATTTTCTGACCAAAATAAATTTGTTTCAAGTTTCCATCAAGTAAGAGGTACACAACATGAAAAGGGCAAACCTTCAACTCATGGGGAACTCCTGAAATTTGTAAATAATACAATCACTAGAACCCTATTGGCAACATTTGGTTGTACTTTCTGTAAGGCTTCAGTTGGCTTACTGCAAGAATTAGTGGCAGAGAGTTCTTCAGAAGAGGAAATAAGAATACAGATAGAAAGATTGTGTATATATCTAGGAATAGAGGATGCTAGAGTGTGTGAAGGCCTTAGTCATGAGTTTAAGGTAGGTATGATTATCATATATAGTTGACAGAAGTGATGGAGTATTTATTAAATTTTCTGAAACAGACCATGTAACGAACCATCTGAAAATTAGGTTGAATCATAATCCAATAAGTAAGTTCTAATTACAGTTCTAATTCAATTGTATGAGTCATTTGATGATTAGGAAGATCACTTGTCATTACCGCATAATATACCTGTACATATATGTACATAAAATGTAAACTTCGCTATCCGGGCACTGAAGATAACATGAAACATGGCGACTTATCAGCAACCAGATATGGAAACTGAAGTTTGGTATTTCTGTATAAAATACCACAGTGATTCAGATAGTCTTGCAGGTTAAGGATTAAGTTTTCCAAGAGTATTCCACACAGAGTTAAACCACGTGATTCAGTAAAATATATTAGGAACAGCACCTTTGATGATAATGTTTAGTGCATTTTAACGAACCGTGAAAGATGCAGAAGATAAATTTAACCTTGCTTTAATACTAAGAAGTTGTCACATACTTTTTACTTAACCACTCATTGTTTTTGTTAATTGCAGACTGAAGTATTGACAGTATTTGATCAGTTGATTCTTAGACCTAATGAAGTATGTGCACTTCTATTAGAGAATTGTGGAACACCATATAATCCTCTAGATGACTGGAATGTTACATTAGCAAATAGAACAAAACCACCAGTAGTACCTCCAAAACTTCCAAAGGTAAATTGGAATTCATTTCTATAAATTTCATAACATAACTATTATAAGCTAAACCTGCTTGTATTTCATTTTGGTCAGAAATAGAAATGGTTGATTTTATTGAAATTTAAGTGTTGGTTTCTTTTGTGTCATTAGATAAGGCCAGTATTGAGATAACTTAGTGTTTCACTGTCAACGCAGTAACACAAAATTTAAATAGAAATTTAGTAAACAAGTCCACTTCGGCCTAATCTTTAGAAACAATTATTTAATTGAATAGAGTCATCGATAATCAAAAGAACATCAAACCAATTTAATACTTTAATTTTGACCTGAATGAAAGAGGCTTAGCTCCTTTCGTAATCCTGTTTATATAAAATAGAAATAAGTTTGGATTATCATAAGGGGCCAAATACTGTTCTTGATTAATCCCCTACCGATTAAGCTAGGGGAGACTACCGGTACTATACATGCAGTAGTAAAGGTTTTCTACTCTTCTGTCTGTCATTTTTGTTTTCTGGACTTAAAGATATTTTAAGATATATGATTGAACTTTATTAGTACATTGTTTTAAATACATGTAATGTTGTTATACTAATTGTCTCCCGCCTTTCGAAGAAAGCAGGGGACTATTAAAATGGGTTCGTCCGTCTGTCTGTCCGTCACACTTTCTCTCCTTCTAATTGACCTAGAATGTTCAAACTTGGTGTAGGTGTTTATTAGGTCAATGCCTTGATGGAGTTCGAAGATGAGCATTTTCTGCTTAGGGTAAGCAGAGATAAGCAATTTGATTGGTTGATGCTTTGGGACACGATAACTTAAGTTCTAATTAAGTGAGAGTGATATGAAACTTGGTGTATAATTTCATTACATCAATACCTTGACTCAGTTTGATGATGAGAATTGTCTGCTTAGGCTAAGGAGCAATAAGTATTTTGATTGGTCAAGACTTTGGAACATAACAACTCTGCTTCTAATTGAGGTAGTATGTTTAAACTTGATGTAAATGTTCGCCTTGACTGAGTTCAATGATTAACATATCAAGCTAAAGCTAAGCAGAGATCAGCAATTTCCTTGGTTGATGCTTTGGGACAAGATAACTTTGATTCTATCTGATAGAGAGTGATGAAACTTCGTGTATAGTTAATAACCAGTTTGATTGCTCGATACTTTTGAAAAAAATAGATGTGCGATTAATTAATATGTGTCATCTATTTATTTGGGGATTTCGGCGGGGGACATCAGCCTCACTATTGGCTTGTTCATTGAAAATTCATTTAAGCAGAATTTATTCCAGCCTTATAAAAATATATGTCTGTTGGTTATATATTGATAGAAACGTATTCACATTCTCAACCTTTTTTTATAGTATGCATGCATTGTAAATTTTATAGGGGCATGTATGTATTGCTTCAACTGTGCTCTCAGAATGCTTGTTTTATTTTCATTTTAGGCTAGTTCACCAACTCTAAGAGTTCTGCAATTATCAGACATACATCTTGACATGCTTTATAAAGTAGGTACAAACGCTGAGTGTAATGAACCACTGTGTTGTCGACCACCTGATGGTCAGCCTGGTGAGTGTTCAAATTATTCTACCATTCAATCTGATTAAAACACAGATCTTGTTTCGTTTCGTTTTTTATAGTTCAAAATTTTGTTTTAGTTGTCTTTACTACACTAGGATCTGGAAGAGTTGTGATATTACACACGTTCTTGTTGATATGAGGGATTAACCAATGAAACAGTTTGTTACAGCGAGTTCTTTATGTGCGGTAAAACTTGGAACTGTGGGTAAACAACTAGAAACGTCAATGCAGATTGATTAATCAATGTCTGACGTCATAAGGTTAAAAGCCGCTCGTATGACCCCTGACGCGAACTTTCTCCAAAACCTGTCATCTTCATGTAGTGTAGGCCATCGAATGTATAAAAAAAAAAAAAACGAAATATAGTTCTGTATTTTAATCAGATTGTCTACCGTTGAGAGTCTGGTTTATTAGATTTTTAGATAATTAGTTTAAATGGGTAATAGATGTAAAATAAACACATTCAATGGTAACAAAATAAAATTTATGTAATTATTCAAATGGCTATAATTTAAAAATTAAATATGTAGTCTACAGAAAGAAATAAGGTCAAATATAATCAATCTACAATTACCACTTAGCTAGCATGATTTAAAAAATAACCTTATTTGTGTTCCTCATTCTCGAGTTTTTTCTCAATATTGTTTTAGTTTTATGTAAGATAGTTGGTGTGCTTATCAGATTTTATAGGTTATTTACATTAGTAAGACCAGCAGAAGAAATAAGGCCAAATATAATTATAGTACATCAAGCATCATTTTTAAAATGTCCTTATTTATTTGTGTTCCTCATTCTGGAGTATTTTGTCAATATTTTTTCTCCAAGCTTCTGAAAATCTGTTGTTACATTTATTCGAGAGCGTTCCATCAACACGTAATTCAAAATCGGCGAGACATGTTCCCATATTGAAAATATAGTTCCAGGTTGTGTTGTATTTGAGATATTGTATTTGATGATGTACGTGTGCAAACGAATATGCCGGCCATAGCTGCTGTAAATATGTTTGTTATTCAACAAGCATTTTAAGAGTATTGAAACACATGTTAATAATTTCTGTATTGAAAACTATTTTGATTACAAATCTATTAACTATTACACCTTACAATAACCCGAAATCGATGTAGATAACAGTTTAATTTAAATTGTAAACCTAGTGTTTTTATTATTTCCAGCTAAAGGTGTACCTGGTGCAGGTAAATGGGGAGATTATAGAAATTGTGATACAACATCGTGGACTTTAGATAACATGTTTCAACATTTAGTTAATATATCAGATCAGGTAGTTGAATATTCCCAATTACAAGCACAGCTATTACTCATTTATAGTACTCTGATGTTTACTTTGGTGGGTTATTGCCCAAATATTACACTGTTCCAAATAGCTTTAACTTATATTAATTCTCGGGCCAAATCATTGCTAGTCTCTATTATCCAGAAAAATATTTGAGAATAATAGGTCATTCGCTCGATTGTCTGGTCTTTTACATTATCATAAACAAAGTCTAAGGGAGGTAACTTGTCCCAAAACAAGATGTTGATGCCCATGACATTAATTTAAGCATGTCATTTCCGAAAATCCATTTGATTGCATTACCAGTTCAATATCCAACACTCATAATTTTTTTATTGTAAAATTTCTCTCTTCATGGGCCATATCTATTATTTTTTTTAAATTAATTCTAATTCGCTGTCCCGATTCATGTTTATTTAGCCTATAATAATGCAATATACAACTTTTTTTTCCAGTTTGACTTTGTTTTATGGACAGGTGACCTACCACCTCACAATGTATGGAACCAAACACGAACAGACCAATTGGGCATATTGGATACTTTGACTGCAAGATTTAAAAAATATCTTCCAAATAAAATGATATTTTCAGCGCTGGGCAACCATGAAAGTTCTCCAGTCAATAGGTATGCAACAGCAAGTTCCTGTTTTGATACAGATCTTACATCTTTTTGAATTGTTCTCGGACAAAAGCTTGTATACAGTCTAAAATGTGTCAATTGAAAATTCAAATACATTAAATTTAAATATATATCATGGGTCATTTCAAGTTTAGAGTTAAATGAAGTTGAGCTAGTGTTAAGTTATGATCTGTTCATTCACATAGAGATCTTTAATACTTCTTTCAAATTGAGATGTTCACACAGAATTATGGTTTTGGTATTCTGTCATCAAGACATCTGTTTGCATCAGAAGCAAATTTTAAACACTTTGTATTAGTGTCGGGATAATCCTTTTATTTGATTTTCTATGTAGAAAATTGAGAAATCTTGTTTCTTTTTATTATGGTATGAATTATTAACTATAATAGTTTAAAAATAGATAATGCAAAATGAATTTATTGAAAATTCCATTCAAACTGCTCCATTGCGAGCAAAGATATTAGCTTTTGAAGGTTTGACCGGATGTGTGCATTAATTGCAGCCACTGCACTGGTTGTTTGAAGCTTAGCCTCGCTTCACCATTTTTAGATTAAATCAATATATGGCTGAACCGTTCTAATCTACTTAATATCGGAGATATCCGATGACATCGAGAGTTGGTTATCTTCTTGTCATGTTAATAAAAGTCTAATTAATAGTTTATATAACATTTAAGGCCTTAAGAAAGACCTGCAATAGTGTGGTCAAAGGAGGTACATTGGTGCTGTATGCAACTATGACACGAGGTATTTCTTTTAAATGAATTGGTTGCATGGAAATGTGTTTTATTTAATCCAAATCAATATATTTTTGATTTAATTAAAAAGTTACCACTCACTATATGTATTTTTTTTGCAGTTTTCCACCTCCTTTTATCAATGGTAATGAGTCTATTGATTGGTTATATGAGGCATTGGCAGAAGACTGGACAACCTGGCTACCAAATTCTACAATAGCCACAATTAAACAGTAAGCTAAATAACATCTCAGATATTCTAGAATATACTACAGTTCTGGAAACCGATAGCTTTGATATGTCATTGAGTAGTTTTAAAGTGATTTCTTGAAATAAAGATATACCATGAGTTAGTCCAAACATGATATTTCCTGTTAGGTCATATGCCCAGGATTTATACTATGTTAATTCTGAATGATTGGTTTCTTTAAACCAAACTTTTATTCTATTTCATGGCATTGTTGTTGGTCTCTGTTATAGGAGGAAATGATTTAGACAAATTTTATAATTGTGCACCAGGAAGGTAAACATGTCAATCTAATCTTTTAAGGAGAAGGAAACGTTTCCCTATTGTCTGATTTCTGAACAATATATTGTGACTATCTACATTTAATGTAGATGACTATTGTGGTCTCTGTCGTCTTTTGGTCTAGCCCAAGTTTGCTTATCAGTTCTCTTCCTCTTACACAGTACAGTTTTTAAAACTTGAAGGGATTGTTTGAACACAGTACAGGACAAAGTTCTTTATATATTTGTACAGGTTGGTGGGATTGTTCATTAAGGTATAAGTAAGTTTTAAAAAATCTTTTATGAACTTAATTGTACTAAACTTAAAGTCGAAATGTGAAGGGAAAAATAAATTTCAAGTGTTATCTGTTTTCATATGACAATTTCTAATTTCAAGCAGTTAGTCCAGAACATAATTTCGACTCGATTTCATACATTTATGTTTCTATAGGGTTCATTCTGAGGCCCAAATGAACAATAATAACACCATGTTTTTAAAACAAAATAAATTGATAACTTTTTCATGTATCATGTTTGCAAGCTTTTAAATAAGACCGGAAAATCAACCGTTAAACTCCTTTCTAAAATTACAAGGGGTGGGGGGGGGTAGATGACCGAATGGTTAGCATGTGCGAGCTGTATGTAAGGTCTCTGTCATTGAGTCAACTGCCATGGTTTTATTGAAATAAAATTGAACCATATGTTAGTCCCGAAATGACTAGTTTGTGTACGTTAAACCCCATTTCTCTCTCTCTCGAATTATGATCCAACACACAAATCATTTAATTTTAGATTCAGCACAGTTGACTTAGCAGCTGGAGGGGGTATAGGGAGTCTGACAATCCCCCATACTGTTATCATATCTTCTTTTTTTATAGGGGTGGTTTTTATGAAGTATCACCATATCCTGGTTACAGAATAATATCAATTAATACAAATTACTGTAATAATCAAAACTGGTAAAGTATGACTTAATACAATTTATTAATAACCATAAAGCTTATATTTTTATCTCCATACCTACATGTAAATTGACGAGATTTCTGGACCGTAAGAATTATTCAGCTTGTCTGCAATATATTAGGAATGCCATTTGGAAAAGTAAAAGCTTTATTGTATTTGTCTAACATTATGATTCTGTTTTTAACTCTTTTTTTTATACGTGCACATTTTCATGTGGATGTATATTGTCGTCACCCCTGTCCGTCCGGACGTCTGTCCGTCCACAATTTGTTTGTGGACACTCTACAGGTGACAATTTTTATTCGATTTTGACGAAACTTAAAATATAGATTTATCTCCCAAAGATCTCGGTTCCTTTCGATATTGGCATGTATCGAACCATAGCTTGTGTACACTCTAGAGGTCACAATTTTCATCTGGTTTTGATAAAACTTGTAATGCATGTTTATAACCCAAAGATCTTGGTTCCTTTCTATATTTGCACATATCGGAGGGTAACTTCCTGAATTATGACCCCTGATTGTACGAAAATTCACGATTTTTTGCTTGTGGTCCCTCTATATCACTGTTACACTGTAATGTTGGTTAAGATCGAATTTCGTGAAAATCGGACCAAAACTGACAGACAAAATGGCTGCCCCTCGTACGCAAATAGTGTAAACATATGGTATATCAAGGTTGTGGACCCTCTAGTGGTCACCATTTTGATCCGATTTTGATGAAACTGAAAATACATGTTTATTACCCAAACATCCTTTTTATACGCCCACATGGAAATGTGGTTGTATATTGCCGTTGCCCCCGTCCGTCGGTCCGTCCGTCGTCCACAATTTCTTGTGAACACTCTACAGACTACATTTATCATCTGATTGTTTTGAAATTGATATATGTTGTTTGCATTAGTGAGATGAAGAAGCCTATTTAATTTCAATAACTTCCGTTAATTTTGTCTGGAGTTATGGCCCTTGTTTCACTTTGTTGCACTTTGTTGCACCTTGTTGCACCATGTGGACGCTCTAACGGCAAAAGTTATCAACCGATCTGTATGAAATTTATATGCATCATTTAAATTAGTAACACAAAGAAGCCTATTTAATTTCATCAATTTACGTTAATTACATCTAGAGTTATGGCCCTTGTTTCACTTTGTTGAATCTTGTGAACGCTCTAATGACAACAGTTATCATCCGATCTGTTTGCAATTGATATGCATCATTTAAATTAGTGAAACGAAGAAGCCTATTCAATTTGAGCAATTTCCGTTAATTACGCCGTGAGTTATGGCCCTTGTTTCACTTCTTTGTACCTTGTGAATGCTCTAATGACAAAAGTTATTATCTGATCTGTATGAAATTTATATGCATCATTTAGATTAGTAAAACAAAGAAGCTTATTGAATTTCAGCAATTTTCGTTAATTACATCTAGAGTTATGGCCCTTGTTTCACTTTGTTGAATCATTTGAACACTCTAATGACAACAGTTATCATCCAATCTGTATGAAATTTATATGCATCATTTAAATTAGTGAAACGAAGAATCATATCGAATTTCAGCAATTTCCTTTAATTACGCCGTGAGTTATGGCCCTTGTTTCACTTTGTTGTACCTTGTTTATGCTCTAACGATAAAAGTTATTATCCGATCTGTATGAAATTTTTATGCATCATTTAAATTAGTAAAACAAAGAAGTTTATTGAATTTCAGCAATTTCCGTTAATTACATCTAGAGTTATGGCCCTTGTTTCACTTTGTTGAATCATTTGAACACTCTAATGACAACAGTTATCATCCAATCTGTTTGAAATTGATATGCATCATTAGTGCTATTGAATTTCAACAATTTCCATAAATTACACCGTGAGTAATGGCCCTTTTTTCACTTTGTTGTACCTTCTGAATGCTTTAATGACAAAAGTTATTATCCGATTTGTATGAAATTTATGGGTATCGTTTAAATTAGTAAAATGAACAAGCCTATTAAGTTTCAGCAAATTTCCGTTAATTACATCTAGAGTTATGACCCTTGTTTCACATTGTTGAATCTTGTGAACGCTTTATCGACAAAAGTTATCACCCAATCTGTATGAAATTCATATGCATCATTTAAATTAGTGAAATGAAGAAGCCCTTGTTTTACTTTGTTGAACCTTGTGAACGTTCGAACGACAAAAGTTATCATCCGATCTGTATGAAATTGATATGTATTATTTGAATTAGTAAAACGAAAAAGTCTGTCGAATTTCAACAATTTCTGTAGATTACTTCCAGAGTTACAGCCCTTGTTTTAGTTTTTAGAACCTTGTGAACCCTCAAACGACGAAAATTATAATGTCATCTGTATGAAATTGTCCATTAAATGCCCCCTAATTACCTACAAAAGAACAAATATACAACAACTCTTGTCGACCGCTCGGACGATTTAGCTGCTGTGGGCGTATGTTTAGTTGCCTGGCAACCTATCTTTTTTATTTTTAGCTTCTTCTCTATCCATCTCTTGCAAAATGTGGGCGTATCTTGTCAGGCAGCCGCTGGTTTTATATTAAATTGATGGTAATGTTTGCTTTTTGGGACACCTGATAACAAATCTCACATAATTTAAACCCTTTTTATACTAGGGCATAAATGTATATTCAAATAGGTTGTAATTAACAGAATTAAGCAAGGAATGCCGTTTGAAATAGTATGATGCTGGCTCACTAACCAGGAGGTCCAGGGTTTCAGACTGGGGTTGACCGAGAAAGTTCCCTTTACAGTTAGAATCCGATGAAGAATAAAGGGATCGAGGCACCGTTTCCCTCATGTGACATTGCATGGCATTTGCTTGTACAGTTTTCATTAACCCGTTTGGTGCAGTTTTATAAATATTATTAAAGATACATTATGTAAGATTTAGATAAAGAGCTAGCCATTCTTGCTATAATGTAAAATGAATAATTTGAAAATTTAATTCAAATTACTCTATTGCGGGCGAAGATATTAGCCTTTGAAGGTTTGACAAGACGTGTGCAATAATTTCAACCACCGTACTGGTTGTTAAAGCTAAGTCTTGCTCCTCCATTTTTAGCTTAAATCAAAATATGGCTGAACTGCTCTAATCTATTTAATATCGGAGAAATCCGATGCCATCCAGAGTTGATTATGGCCTGGATAAGTTAATTAATGTCTAATTAATAATTTAGAAAACATTTCAGGCCTAAAAGATGTACAATAGGCAGATTTAGCTCTCGCATAATGTATGTTTAAATGTGATATTTATAAATTTTAGGTGGTTATTGTTAAATACAACTGATCCTGCTGGTCAACTACAGTGGTTAATTGGTGCCTTACAACAAGCAGAAGATAATCATGAAAAGGTAATTTAATACATTGCTAGATATACAATGCTTTCTGATTTCCGATAACATGTAACATGCATCGTTGGAATTAGGTCAATAAACCAGCATTGCTAGATTTAGTTTTAAACTTGCCATATGTATTCCTCATAGCCTAAGGGTGGCAACTGTTGATTTTGGTGCATGTCCCAACCCCCAGGGACAGAGCCACACCCAATTTTTGTGTTAAATGCCTGAAGGCCACAATTCTGAATGGATTATCTCGAAAGTTTATATACTTATTCCTTATACCCTAAGAACAGCATTTTCTGCTTAGGATAAGCAAAGGTAAGCAATTTGATTGGTTGATGCTTTGGGACAGGATAACTTTAGTTGGAATTAAGTGAAAGTGATGAAACTTGATGTATAGTTTCATTACATCAATACCTTCACTAAGTTCGATAATGAACATTTTCTGCCCAGGGTAAGCAGAACGATAAGCAATTTTATTGGTTGAGACTTTGGAACATAATAACTGTCCTTCTAATTGAGCTAGAATGTTCAAACTTGATGTAGGCGTTCATTAGGTGAATGCATTGATGGAGTTCGAAGATGAGCATTTTCTGGTTAGGGAAAACAGAGATAAGCTATTTGATTGGTTGATACTTTTAATTGGGATACAATAACTTTAGTTCTAATTAAGTGAATGTTCAAACTTGGTGTAGGTGTTTATTAGGTCAATGCCTTGATGGAGTTCGAAGATGAGCATTTTCTGCTTAGGGTAAGCAGAGATAAGCAATTTGATTGGTTTTTGCTTTGGGACACGATAACTTTAGTTCTAAATAAGTGAGAGTGATGAAACTTGGTGTATAGTTTCATTACATCAATACCTTGACTAAGTTCAAAAATGAGCATTTTCTGCTTGGGCTAAGCAGAGCAATAAGAAATTTGATTGGTCGAGACGTTGGAACATAACAACTCTGCTTTTAATCGAGGTAGAATGTTTACATTTGATGGAGATGTTCATTAGGTGAATGTCTTGACTGAGTTCAATGATTAACATTTCAAGCTGAAGCTAAGCAGTGCTTATCAATTTCATTGGTCAATTCTTTGGGACAAGATAATCTTGATTCTATTTGATAGAGAGTGATGAAACTTAGTGTATAGTTTGATTGCTCGATACTTTTGAAAAAAATAAATGTGCTACTAATTAATATGTCATCTATTTATTTTGGGATTTCGGCGGCGGACATCAGCCTTACTGTTGGCTTGTTTTTTGTACTCCAGGTTCATATAATTGGACATATACCACCTGGTATATCTGATTGTCTGCGGGCATGGAGTTGGAATTATTATAAAATTGTTAACAGGTAATAAAACATGATCTCAAAATTTATCATTACATATTTTATTCACAAAATTCAAGGTTAAATTTCAAATTTACAATTGTATGCATTAAAGTAACCTTGAGCAGAAAGATGATGGAAAACATTGTCTCCTACAGTTTTCAGTTGTGTTGTAATATTGGGAAGGATCATGTATATTCTCAGCCACAACAATGATGAGTCATTGTGTTAGGGAAAAAAAGTTGTTATTGTTTAGTAATTTTAAGTTCACAAATTTGCCCTGTAAGTATATTAAATGAAGAAGATTACTGTATTTGATTTGAATTGTTGTTTTTTCTAGGTATGAAAGTACAATAGTGGGTCAGTTTTTTGGTCATACTCATGGAGACCATTTTGAAGTCTTTTATGATGAAAAAGATTTTAAACGACCAACTGGTGTGGCTTATATATGTCCAAGCGTTACAACATTTCCTCAACTGAATCCAGCATTTAGAATTTACACCATAGATGGTAACTACACTGGGTCATCGTGGGTAAGTTATTTATAATTCAAACAAATATTTTTACTGGGTTGGTATTCTCAAATTTTGTGGATATGCCTATCGGCACAATAGTCTACATTTTTATCTGATTTTAATGAAACTTGATATGTGACTTTGAATGCATTAATCATTTACTGGAGTTACTGCCCTTCCTTGACATTGTGAGAAACATTGGATTTTATAAGTTAGGATTTTTTCTTTTTTTTATAGGCTGTATTGGATCATGAGACTTATATAATGAACTTAACTTCAGCTAATCTTTATAATAAACCAGAATGGAAATTAGAATATTCAGCTAAAGTAAGTACTGGTAGATGAATATTATTACATTAAATGCTTTAAAGGGTTAGTCCCATCTATTACAGGACCAACAAGTTAATAGTGGTTTTAAGTATTAAATTAAACGCCAAAATATGACGATGTAGCTTTTTTTACAGTGTATGAAAAATTCAAATCAAAATATTAAGCAGTTTGGATGAGTTCAGAACGTAAATCTTGTCAAACTGAAAGCATGTATTTCTTGAAGTACCACAATGTTTCACATGTTGCACAGGCCGGACTAGAATACAATTTTGCAGCAGTCATTCATGCTTAATTGAACAAGTGTTATTAACTATAATGTATGTGCCACATACTATGTGGACTGCTCCTTTAATGTACCACAGATTGATAAAAGAGACTTGATAATTTTGGTATCTGTTGGAACATATATCTTGTATAATGGATGCCTGATCTGTTTTAGTTGCGCAAATGTTTCATGCAGAATAGTTGAATGTAATCTTTTTGAAACTTTATCTTGTGTTTCAAAACATTATATTAAGCCAAAATGATTAAATTATGTGTTCTGTTCCATTTTATTATAGAAAGATTATGGTATGCCATCTTTATTTCCTGTTGACTGGAATAATTTGATTGATAAAATGTCAACCAACAATACTTTACTATATCAGTTTTATAGGTAAGTCTTTAATTTTACCTTAGAAAAATTATAATGGGTTCATCCGTCTGTCTGTCTGTCCGTCTGTCTGTCCCGTCTGTCTGTCCCGTCTGTCTGTCCGTCCGTCACACTTTTTGGGATACAATAACTCTCTTCCTAATTGAGCTAGAATGTTCAAACTTGGTGTATGTGTTTATTAGGTCAATGCCTTGATGGAGTTCGAAGATGAGCATTTTCCGAGAATGTTCAAACTTGGTGTATGTGTTTATTAGGTAAATGCCTTGATGGAGTTCGAAGATGAGCATTTTCCGCTTAGGGTAAGCAGAGATAAGCAATTTGATTGGTTGATACTTTGGGGCACGATAACTCTCTTCCTAATTGAGCTAGAATGTTCAAACTTGGTGTATGTGTTGATTAGGTCAATGCCTTGATGGAGTTCGAAGATGAGCATTTTCCGCTTAGGGTAAGCAGAGATAAGCAATTTGATTGGTTGATGCTTTGGGACACGATAACTTTAGTTCTAATTAAGTGAGATTGATGAAACTTGGTGTATAGTTTCATTACAGTAATACCTTGACTAAGTTTGATAATGAGCATTTTCTGCTCAGGGTAAGCAGAGCGATACGCAATTTGATTGGTCGAGACTTTGGAAAACAATAACTCTCCTACTTTGATTGTCCCCCGCCTTTCGAAGAAAGCAGGGAACTATTAAAATGGGTTCGTCCGTCTGTCTGTTTGTCTGTCTGTCCGTTCCGCTTATGGTAAGCAGAGATAAACAATTTGATTGGTTGATCTTCGAATTGAGTAAATGTTCATGCTTATTGTCCCCCGCCTTTCGAAGAAAGCATGGAACTATTAAAATGGGTTCGTCCGTCTGTCTGTTTGTCTGTCCGTTCCGCTTAGGGTAAGCAGAGATAAACAATTTGATTGGTTGATGCTTTGGGACACTATAACTTTAGTTCTAATTAAGTAGATAAACAATTTGATTGGTTGATGCTTTGGGACACTATAACTTTAGTTCTAATTAAGTGAGAGTGATGAAACTTGGTGTATAGTTTCATTACAGTAATACCTTGACTAAGATCGATAATGAGCATTTTCTGCTCAGATTAAGCAGAGCGATAAGCAATTTGATTTGCTGAGACTTTGGAACACAATAACTCTCCTTCGAATTGAGTTAAAATGTTCAAAATTGGTGTGTATGCTTATTGTCCCCCGCCTTTCGAAGAAAGCAGGGGACTATTAAAATGGGTTCGTCCGTCGTCTGTTTGTCTGTCTGTCTGTCACACTCCTTCGAATTGAGTTAAAATGTTCAAAATTGGTGTGTATGCTTATTGTCCCCCGCCTTTCGAAGAAAGCAGGGGACTATTAAAATGGGTTCGTCCGTCTGTCTGTTTGTCTGTCTGTCCGTCACACTTTTTGGGACACAATAACTCTCCTCCCAATTGAGGTAGAAGGTTCAAACTTGGTGTAGGCCTTTATTAGGTCAATGCCTAGATGGAGTTCGAAGATGAACCTTTTCTGCGCAGGCTAAGCCGACATAAGTCATTTGATTGGTTGATGCTTTGGGACACGATAACTTTAGTATTTGGTTTTGTGCATAAACAGCTTTATACCGAAGACAACATATTAAAAATAGTAAGTCTACTAAGTGATGCGTCGAGTGAATAATAAAATAAATTAAGCGTCACAAATAGAGCGCGTGCTTTCGCCGTAAAACGGTGTCGTCTGCTAGAAAGACAAAACGTGATTTATCATCACCCAGTTGTGCAAACGAAACGTCTTTATACAAACTTTTCCTTTTTATAAGCTCGTTTATATAGTTTATGCTTTAGTTCTTGAAGAAGCTTTCCAATGTATTACCCCTGTAATTCCTCCTCTTTTATCTGTACAATATTTTCGAAAAAAATGAAACGAAATCCACTTATGTATACATTTAGGTTACATTATAGCCTACATGTCCCGACTCAACTTGCCACATTACATATCATAATATTATAACCAGGTATTGATAAAAGCATCAATTGAGCAATTCCAATACAATCCAATACAATGAATATAGGCAAGGTAAATAAACAAATAAATGGAAAAAACAAATTGAAAAAGAAACTATTATAAATTAATTAAATATGTAGTATGCAATAATGAATTGACATTTAATGACAGAAAGAAAACAGTGAACTTTGCACAACTTGCAGCAAGATGGAAAATAGACCCGTTGATACAACCAAACTCTAGATCTGTAGGCATAGAGCATGTTTTCCCCTTAATATGCTATAATTATTCCATCAAAAACATTGTATGCTTAGACTATAAGTAAAGATATACTGTTTGATTGTTCAATACTTTGTAAAAGATAATTTGTGATAAATTTATATGTGTCCTCTAATTATTTTCCTATTTCGGCGGGGGACATCAGCCTCACTGTTGGCTTGTTTTGGTTGATGTGAGGAGACATATTTCATTTTTATGATTAATTAGTCATGTTAACATCCAAATGTTCAAACTAAGCTCACGCATCCACCACCCTCCTCATGTACATCAGATTTCTGTTGGATACAGTTTATTCTGTGAAAGAGTAGTCACGATTTGTCAGCATCATATCAATGCAATTGACTATTAAAGTCACCAATTTTGTCACTAATAACCAGATAATAACCCTCAACTTTATAAATTGTTAATGACTGTGGCATGTCATGAATTGTTGAATTGTTAATGAGTTATTGACTGTGGCACGTCATGAATTGTTGAATTGTTAATGAGGTACGTCATGAATTGTTAATGAGTTATTGACTGTGGCATGCTTAGTTTTTGCGAGTTATTCTCATGAGCATGACTTATATATGACTGAAAATACATGTTAAAAACTTGTTATTTCAGATATTATTATAAACTTAGAACTGATGGCAGCTGTGATGAAACTTGTCGTAAAAGAGTTTTATGTTCTCTACGAAGTGCACGTTCCCGTGATAAAAACTTCTGTATTTATTAATAAGAGAATTATTCTTTAAAAGAATTGCCTTCCAAAATTATATGTAATTTTTATTTTAAAACATACACACTATGCAGTGTGTGTGAGAGTACATATAAATATATAAAATGCCTTGCAGGGTATGTATGTAAAAAAAAAATATATATAAAATGGCTTCTGTGTGAACACAACCTTGGTAAAAAAGATATTTTGTTATTTTCTGCGGCAGGATAATATAGCATTAGTAGCTACTTAATGCTGCATTTAACAGTAAAACTATATTTAATCATTCGTGCATATAGCTGAGTAAAGCAGACTGGATGACAAATCTCAGCATTGTCAATCCACAACCGTAGAATTCGGATCAATCCAAAACTTATTCTTATTCACACAATGAATTGCAATTTCTTTAATAATGCTCATTATAAATACTCATTTCTTTCTTTCTTACTGTGCCCACATTTCATGTGATAATATAGTATCGTCATTCCTCTATTTTTGTTAACAAGTATTATAATATAACATTCTACAGGCTGACTTTTTGAGGTTTTTAAGGGAAAACCCAGTGTTCATAAATGGGTGGCATAGTTATTGCCCCTGTTGTCAAAACAGTGTATAGAATAATCAACTGGTGAAAGCCACACGTTCTTGCCCGTGTAATAGAAACTTTATGAGAATTATATATTACTGATTATGTTTGTGATAATTGTTATCAGTAATTGTTGTTTATAAGTAATTTATTTATACATACCGGTATGTAATTTAATGTTTAAGTTTGTAGTGTTTTGGAGAATTTGTTGGTTTTTTTTAAAAAAAAAATGTTAATGTAATATTTATAGGAGGTGGTGCTCAGTGATATAAACATATTTCTATTATTGGTTGATTTTTTTATTTGACACTCTTGAAATATGTCATATGAATTATAGGTGTCAGGAATTATATGATGTGATTATTCATATTTTTGATATGTGATTATTCATGAAATCTGTGTGATTATTGATAAAAAATCTTTCATTTCATTAAAGATACATTATATAAGATTTTCTTGCTATAATAGTTCAAAAATAGATAATGTAATATGAATATATTGAAAATTTCATTCAATTTACTTTATTCGGAGCCAAGTAATCACTGTTTGTAGTTTTGACAAGATGTGTGCATTATTATAACCACAGTACTGGTATATTTGAGTTTTGGCTCGCTTCTCCAATTTTAAATTAAATCATTAAATGGCCGAACCAATATAATCTACTTAAAACCTCAAGAATCTGATGCAAGAGTTGATTATGGTCTTGTCATGTTAATAAATGTCCAATTAATAATTTATATAACATTTAAGGCCTAAAGAAAGTCCGGCAATAGGCAAATTTAGCTCTTGAATAATGTATCTTTAAGCTACCATGCTATATTAGTCAAGGTTGATTTTATTGCCTCTCTCCAAGATAGTGGGGAAAAATAATCAGTTTGTGCTCATGTTGGTCATTCCCCTAGATTCTTAATATAATTAAATAACTCGACTGAAACATAAAAAATTTATTTCAGAAGGGAAAAAATTAGAATACATTAATAAATATAATTGTGTACAAAAATATTAATAAATATCACAGAAATAAATTAATATATAACAATTATTAAGATAGATTGATAAATTGCTTTTCTAGTGTTAGAAAAATATATATTTTTGTATAAGTGCTGTCATTAATGTTTAAATCAGAATTAAAAAAATCAACTTAATTGCTTGACTTGTTTTAGTATGGCCACATTGTTCATGAGTTATTACCATATCAAGTTTCCAATATAAATTTATCTTTCAGGGTTAACTACTAAAGCTTGCAATGGTGTATACCAGACAAAATTCTCTATGGAATTCCTAAGACATAGTGGGATTATTCCTTGCCTAAATGGGGACATAAAGGGGAACCCGAAAAAATTTGTACCCCGATTACCTCTGTCTTTTAGCTGACAAGGGGCAAAGAAGCAATTAAAATTCTGGTGCGGTGCAATCAGTGCCCTTAAACATTAATTTCTGGTGTGAGTCGAGCAAGATAAAAAAAATGTTTGTTGGCCTGGTTACAATGAGAATGTGTTGGGTAACACATTAAATATGTTTTATGGAACATTATGGGCTCTTATGTAGTTTTAATGAGAATGTGTTGGGTTAACACTATTAAAAATGTTTTTTGGAACCTTATGTAATTTTGGTGCGAGCCCTGTTAAAATTGTTAGAGATTTCCGAGGAATAAAAAACATTTGAGCAAATTCATTACTCAATAACACATTCAACAAAGGATGTTCTTCTCAACATTTTGTGAGATATATTGGAACTATGCAACAAATCGATTGCGATGACAGATACTATATAGTGAAATGTAATTAAAAGTCGGACTCTGCTCATTACTCCTCAAGTAGCTTGCTTTTGTCTAAGAAATTCTCTTGAGTTCAAATCAGCCTGCAATTAAATAAAAACAAATAAATGAGGGGTTCTCCTCCATAATGCTATGTCATTTTGGGGTAAAATCATAGTTTCCCTGGAAATAAAAGACAATTATATCAATCATGTTAAAATAATTTTAACATGCAAGAAACACCCACATTTTGCAATAGATGGATGGGGGGTCTCATTCTCTCATTGTCGCAATCAATCCTGAAAAAATCGGTTTAAAACTGTATCCTCCATCACTTGAACAAGGTTTTCAGAAGAGGGTGGAATGCTTCATATGATAGGGTTCGTTCTCTCATAAATCTGTTGTCGCATTCATAAAGTTTTTAGCAAATGGGATCAACTCCAGGGTTTGTCCTGTCATGAACTCAATGCTTAACCCCAAACTTGAAAATAAATCTGTTAAAAACTATTGATTCTATTACGTTCAACTAGTGTTCAGAGAAAGGGGGCAGAACTCTAGAACGAAAGGTCCTATCAGAGATCTTATGGTCCTCAACATTATATTTTAAGTTTCATCTAAATTGGACAAACATCGTGGGCTACAGAGGGTCAACAAACTTTGTACATCTTTCACATTTTGCATAAAAGGTAGGGACAATAATCCAAGACGTTGTGGTCTGATGCGCACCAAAATCAAACTCATCCAAGATCATTGTATCCCCAATATATATGTTTAAGTTTCATCTCAATTGGATAGACATAAAGAAAATAGAATTAGTTCTATGGTGATAATTACTTTTGTACAGAGTGTCAATGGTGATCGAATCAATGTTGACTGTTCCATTACCAATCAGCTTTATGGTTTTAAGATTGTTCAACTATTTAACCAGTATTCATGCAGACTGAACAGACATTTTGTTTTGCAATCGTTCCAAGTTGGCTTTTGGAACAAGATATCACTCTCACGTTTAACAATAATGCCTCGTTACTGAAGGAAGTGAGTGAGGGCACGTGAACAAGATAGAGAGAGAGAGAAATGGGGTTTAACGTCCACTCGACACAAACTAGGTCATTTCGGGACTAACATGGTTTAATTTTATTTCAATAATTCGCTTGCGCGTAGGGGTCTTTAGCAGTGGGAGGAAACCGGATGAACAAGATAGAGTATATTGGACAATGGTTATATGAATATAACTTACCCGTCTAACTGGTTCTGGTATCCTATATTTACAACAAGCTTTAACTAGTATTACAGCTGTATCTAAACTGACCAGATGACCACTAGATATATAGATAGGATTCGTTGTACTATCCAAACTACGTAATGCCTGCAAATTAAAAAAAAAAGTTTTTAAATTTGTGAACAGCTTTTTGTAAAAAATGAATCTTGCAACATCTTTATTTTACATGACCAATTCCGACCAAATGTTATTGCATTTTGACCAACCACCTATAAAATATATGGAGCATTAAATGACCTAAATTTCCTTGCTTTAGGTTAAAATAAAGAGTGTAATCAGGGTTATTGGATGTTTTTTTTGGATTAGCCATAGAACAAGCTGATACTGGCCTCCAGTCTATACATCTCATGATACAGCACAAGCTTGCCTGTACCCATTCCTATTATTTATTAAAAATAGCTGTTTTTCCTACTTTGCTCTGCATTTTTTTGCAAGGAAGCTCATACATACCATGCCCAGTGTGTCATTTTTATTGTCTATTAATGGCATCACATCTCCTCCTTTCTTTAGTTTTAATTTCTAAAAAAGAAACAAATATAACAGATACTGTCGAGTTTGATCTGTGATTTCAAATTGATACTCAGACAAAATAGCAAGATTATAATTTTTAATTTTCAGAAACAACTTATATGTCATATATGTTAAGTAGAATTTTTAAAAAAAAAATTAAAATTCTACTACTGCCTGTTTATAAAAAGATATCTTGATGGATGTTTTCAAATTTTCAGTGATTGTTTATTTGGTCACATGTAAGAACCCTATAAAAATAGCAATCTAAATTTCAACTTACTTCAGTCTTGAAGTTTGCATCACTATCCATAGCATCAAGATGAATCAGGTTCTTAGCTACACCTAAACATGGTGTATTTAATAATACACCAACATGACAAGCTACTCCAAATTCTAAAGAAAACAAAATATACAAAATTACAACATCAAAATTAATAATACATTTGTAGTTTTAATTGGACTAGGTAAATATTACATGTTTTAATAGGATTTATAATCTTCAGGGGTGTTAGTTCTGTACACTGAATGTCTGAAACAAGCATTTTGAACAAACCCTATATTGTTTGGTCCAATGTATTAACCAAAACAGGACAGAACTAACCAAAGCCAATGGTATTCATATTAATACCAAAACCAGAATTATTGGAAGATTTAAGGCTAAAAAATACAGTGAATCTTCATTCAAAATTGTCAATATTTAATTTTGGCAATCGATTTTAACCTAATCTGTTTTAGCTTGGTGGGTTTATAAAAGTTTGTCTCTTTATTCCAGCATTATTTTCTAAGCAGGTCTTTGACCCATCATCTATAGAACTATACCTTTTTTACAGGCCTACAAATACGGTCATGAAGCACTTTAATTTTTTTATTATTTGATAAATGATTCACTTGAATTTAGTAGTTTTTAGTAGTTTAAAAATCGAGAATACAGTTAGTAGCAATTTACCTCTAGGATGAAGCAAACCATTTCCATCCAGAAATATCACAGTAGGTTTGAGGTGTGGATGTGTAGATATGAGTTTGTGATATCGATCAACCAGAAAACTGGCTTCACGAAAGGCAAGAAAACCAGGAATGTATGGTGCTGTTAGTTCTATCATTTCATAATCTTCATATACCACCTGAATCACACAAAAGAAAAACATGGCTGAAGCTTTGTTTGGCACATAGTACCTTTTTTTCAGTTTTTAATATTTCTTGAGTCTGCACATGTAGTTCAAGGGAGGTAATTCAATTATGGCTATGAAGGAATTGTACCACAAAAGGATTTCCATTGATGTCAATTCTTTACCGTTCCCCTGGGCTCTAACTTTTCACAAATTTTTTATTGATATTAATGTTTCGTACCACATATAGAGCAACACATAACTATGTTTTGCTTCAATGCGTACATATGGTGAACATGTACTGTTACACAAAATGGCAGTAACAGTAGTAAAAATATCACAGTAACCAATCTTTCGCCTCTAAAATCATGCATCATCAAAGCCTGGTAGAAAATGCAAATCCAGAATGATTTTTTTTTCTAAAATCTAGACCCAAGTGTAAAAAAAGTCATCATGCCAAAGGGGGGCAACACTGCCAAACATAACAAAAATAGTGAAAACCTGTAACTAATGGTGCTACCTGCATACCTGGGTTACTAGATAAAAATAATTCCATTCACTAAAATCATATCACTGTTGAACGTCATACAACAATCATTTAAACTGACATTATTTATACATGTACCATACCTCTAAACTTGGAAAGCTGAGTATAACCAAGGCAGCACATGCATTGACGTCATCCCCTTTAATGAAAGATATATCCATTCCACCTAGATAGTATTTTTCATTACCATACTGATTTTTCTCGATAGCTCGTTTTAATTTACTGACTTCTTTACTATCTTCTAGAATCATTTTAGCCTTTAAAATATTCTGCTCTCTAGAAAAAAAGATCATAGAATGGAATTAATGCTCCACAGTCTCGTCAAATTAAATTACATCATGTCTCATCACTCTCAGTGAGACTTTCACTCAAATATACAATCGACTCGTATTTGGAATTCCAACTGTCAAGGTGTTTTACATATACACCAATGGTGTGGACTGTATAAAATGGATATTGGGCCCAAATCTAAATATGGACCACCATACTTTCATTTCTTTTTTCTACTGTGTGAGGTTTCTACATGTATTTACACTCCAGCTGTGTCTGACAACCTCTTGAAGTAGTTTGATACAACATTATGATCTGACCAGAGATGTCTTTTGTCGTTAAGCTAATAAAGTCATAAAAACGGAACAAAGATCTGTTAACGAAGCAGTTAGATCTGTAGGTAGTGCAAGGCAAATAAACACTAAAACAATGACAGCTAGATTGAATTTGTACAATTACCTTTTCCAACTTTCTCTTATTGCTTCACTGACTGCACTTTCTTTATCACTTGTCCATTTTGGTGTTTCTACATTTGAATTATGTGAGTTTGTCAAACAGAAAGACCTGATATCAATGACTATTTCATGAAAACTGTCTCCTTGACAAAACTCACATTTACAGCTTACAGTACCATTAACAACTCTAGAATCTGTTTTTCTATTACTTTCATCACAAGCTTGACAACGAAATGAATTAGTGTTTTGTGTAAGATAGCCACAATCAATACAAAACTCTGATGGTAAATGTGAATTGTATTGTAATTCTAGACTTGAACAAATTGAACAGATTCCCTCTTTAAAATGTCCATCTATCTTCAGCATATACCCACATCTATTACAAAAATCCATGGTCAGCTGATATCTGGGGGAAAAAAAACAATATTATAAAATCTAATAAATACATTACTCTACATGCCAAGAGGCCCAGACTATCCATTGATATGATTATTTTTGGCTTCTGTAAAGTTAGTGTGTTTGTTTTAAATCTTCTAAGGGTCATCCTAGTCGACACCTGGCAAACCCAACAAATAAATCTTAAGATATAGCCGAGTTTGAAATTTCAAATCAAAATACTGTGTCATTCGGAATTGAGCGTAAGATTTGCTTAACAGGGTTATGTACCGAAGCTCATTATTCTATTGTAAGAGTGACTTGATAATCATAACATCATAACTTGGGCAAGTTTATATGGCCTGACATTGTGGGATATAAATGTATGACCATTCGCCAGTGGGAAACCAAAATTACAAGCCTCTATTTCGTTGTAATATATCGGAAATGAGTGCTAGAATTGCTCAACAGTAACTTTACCAATGGTACATGTATAGACAGGCCTGTCATATAGAGGGAAAGTTTAAATGACTTGGTTAAAGGTTTCCGTGAGAGAGAGAGAGAGAGAGAGAGAAATGTCCACTCGACACAAACCAGGTCATTTCGGGACTAACATATGGTTCAATTTTATTTCCATAATTCACTTGTGCGTAGGGGTCTTTATCAGTGGGAGGAAACCGGAGGACCTGGAGAAAACCTACGAAGTTGGACAGGCGACCCTACTCCTTGTCACGTACAACCGGGGATTCGAGGTTTCCATGAGACTTTCACATGTGATATCATCTTTGATGGTGGTGTACCATTATTTCAAATAACGGTGCTGCAGGCACTTTGCCAGTCATACCTTATTTATAGAGGATGGGGTAGAAATTCACACTGTAATCTGAATTATTAAGTTGTGTGAGTCTAATGCCTTTGTGCAGCACCAATAAGTATAAGCTACTTAATGTCTATTTCTAGACCTTTGAAAAACACTTATTCACTGCCACTGGAATATATCTGCTCCATTAAAGGGGAGGGGTTAACACTGTTAAATTTAGTTTGAAACATTCAAAGAACCAATGTGGCTAGTTTTCTACCTGGAGTCATCCTGCTTCCTATTTTATCTCAACAGGTCTTTTGGTATATTGGTATTTTTTAAATTCAACTGGACTGTTCTGCCATGAACTTGCAGCTCATAACATAAAGACGGACAGGAATGGGCTAGATCTAATTATTAATGCCACCTGCAGATTTTGACACGGTCGCAGAGATGTAAATTAGATTAGGGCACATGCTTGTTGACAAGATTGTGGGTTGGGGTTAGGGTTAGTGCTAGACCTGTTTCCATCTCAATTAGATTAGCGATGCCAAACGCCGCTAGAGGCGCTGGCTGTCCTATTATTGGTGTGCTAAAAAACCTGACCGAAAAATGTACCGTTTCTACTACGGGGTCTCATGAATATTCAGGAAGTCAAAACGTGGTCACGTGGCACTTTTCCGGAACCTGGTGAGCTAAAGTTAGCGGACTGCCATAGCAGGTAAGATTTTGATCGAATTTTCGCTTATTTTTCTTGTTTTTAATTTTTAAATGTAATAGAAACTTTGAAAAAAAGAGCATTCCGCTCGAGATATCGACATTTTTGGATAGCCTGGTATATATTTTGTATAGTTTGAGCTTTTGTTTTGCCAAAATCCCCCGTAGGAATTGGCAATAAGACGGAAAGTAGAACCGGGAAAGAATCAGGGAAAGACAACTCTTGGTAGGTGCGTGTATGGGATCAGACCACAATGAACGATTTTTTTTTTTTATCCTAACTTTTGCAAACTTAAGTGTGAACTATTTAGATGTTTTTGCAAATTTAATAACATTACTTGTAAAAAAAATGGACTTTTGAGAAAAATATATCCCCAAATATTGAAATAAGACTGACTTTGCATAGGCAAAATGAAAATGTGTATCTCATTTATTTTAAAGCTTATATTTACTATGGAAGAAGAGTATTCACAACCATTATTCATAACAGATTCTGAGGAGAGTGAAAAAGAAATTGGAGAAAGTGAATCTCAAGTAAGGCATTTCAATCTGTACTTTAGGACAATTATTATACTATGTTTATTTGATGCAGCACTCTTTTATTATAACTTTAAAAAACATAATCGGAAGAGGCCAGTGATTATATTGCTCTGTACAAAATCAATTTTATTTTCCAGGCACAGACGCAAGCTCCAAGATTCATGCCACTTTTCACTCCACGCTTTAGTTCTGAGAATACAGATTCTGATGACCAAAGTTTAAAAATTCCAGAAAAGGTACATTTATCTAAATAATTATGATGGTCAAATATAGAATGTTAGCCAGACTACAAAAATATGTGCATTGAGCAATCTTGCCAGTTAAATCGGTACAAATAGTATTCAGTTCATACTAATAGTCCACTTGTACCACAGTAATGTACAGTATACGCCTATCCTGTCTCCAGTGCCGGATCTAGGGGGGGCAATGTGGGACAAATGTCCCGGCCCCCCACATTTAGGGGCCCCCCACAATTCTGGGTCATACTAATATTTTATCCCGGATTTCACTAAAATAAAGTAAATGAAAACATCATAAGAGAAAGAGTCTGTTTTAAATACTCAAATTGTCAAAGAATTCTAAACATCAATGAAATCGCTGACTAAATTGTCTTAGATGCACTGAAATTAATCCTAATTTTAAAAAAGAATTCCTGGAGGAAAACACCCCTGGCACTCAAGGGGGCGGAGTACATACTAGTACGATCCGCGGTCAATACGAACATTTTGAACAAACAACATTGGGGCCCCCGCACAGTTGGTATGTCCCGGGCCCCCACAAGGTTAATTGGGCACTGCCTGTCTTGCCAAGAGCACCCTGAATGATAGTTGTGTGTTTCAGTTTAGCATGATATACTTATCAGACAACAAAATATATTATTTATTTATCTTTCAGGTTGCAAGATTGGACACACAGTTAACCTTTTCTGCATCAACATCAGAATTTGATTCAAGCCCGAAAATATTACGGAAAAAAGTAAAGAAACCAAAACGTGACCAGAACACAAAAGAATGTCAAACTATAATCGTCGGTGAAATATTTGCTAACACTAAAAACATGATTATGAGTGATGATATCCAAGTCAAACGAGATGATAATTTAAATGTAGGAACACAAACTGTTATATCTGGACCATTTATGCTTTATTCCCAAAACTTGTATTTTAATTTTTAATTACTAATATGATCATGTAATCAAATCCCCCAATTATAATCCTCATGTCTTTTTGTGTCAATCTTGGATTTACTGTCCAGGCTGCATTTTCTGACAGTAAGCCCAAGATTAGAAATTTGACTAATGGGGCAGTCTTGGAGCTTTTTGAACATGGTAGGTCTGTGAATGCAAAAACTATGGATGTGATTCATATAATGTGTGAAATTTGTGATGTTAAAGACGCCAATATTACTGGGTGTAGATCTAAGGTTTACAGGATGATTGACGCAGATAAGAAAAAGCGAGCTGAAGTTCGAGATTCATATAGGAATCAAATATTTCATTTTCCGTCTTCTGTTCCAACATTAAGCACTACAGAATCAACGACAGAGTTAAAACAGTCAAAAGATGTTTCAGAGAGTAAGATAGAGGAACTGCGAAACATAAAAGAAGCAAACAGAATGCTTAAAAGAAAAGTTACACGTAGGGAGGACTCCTTAGAGAAGAAAGTAGCTGCAAAGACTCGAAAACTAGAAAAAATTACTGAATCAACTCAACAGAAGTTAAAGAAATCAGAGGAGTCATTGAAACAAAAGACTGAGATTCTCGAAAAGAAAAGGCAAAAGCACAGTCAAGACATTTTTAGCTTTAGACAGTTAAATAATTATGTTAAAACCCTGAAAAAACATATCGATGGTGTTAATGTAGTGCTTAAAGAAAGATCTCGTGAACATAAAGTTTTGGAGGAAGAATATATCATTCTACAACAGCAAAACAAGGAATTAGAAAAAAGTGTAGAGTATTTGCAAGGATTGATAAACGATACTGATGAAATTATTGTTTGTGATCCTTCAATAAATATTTATTCAAATAGATTAATTGAATGTGTGATGAATCTTACTAACTTAAAGATCGCAACAAAAAATGTTGGGCCTGTTATACAGGAAGTGGCTACACTTTGGGAAAACGAGTGAACCGTCTTCCATCCCGCCAGACTGTTGACAATATTGTGGATAGAAAAGTGTCAATGTCACAAAAGCAAGTATCACAAACTATAGCGAAAGAAAAAGATACCACCCTTTACACTGATGAAACAAGGAAGCATGGACATACTTATCAAACCTACATTTTAACCGATAAGAGTCAGAATTCTTATCTTTTGGGCCTTAGAGAAATGGTAAACAAAAGTGCACAATGTACATTGGATGTGTTAAAAGAAATCCTATTTGACATCTCAACTCATTGTAAGGAGCTATCCGAGGCAAAAAACTTTAGTGTTGGGTATGAATTATTATGCAATATAGCAAATACCATGTCTGATAGAGCCAGCACAGAAAAAGCATTCAATACCTTGCTAGAGAGCTACAAAGAAGAGGTCTTGCCAAAGGTTATAGATAATTATAATGAACTTTCAGTCGAGGAAAAATCTCACTGTGGGAAAATTAACAATTTCTTCTGCGGATTGCATCTTCTTTGTGGGATGGCTGATGTATGTGAGGCTGGAATGAAGAAATATGAAACTGGCTTCTTAGATGGCAAGGAAATAGGATCTTCTGTCAAGCCTGAACTGAAGCGATTCCATAAGGCAGAGAGTGGCACATTAAGACTACTCCGCTCTTGTAGTAAATCGTTTGCAAGAGGAGAAGATGAAAAAAATGGAGTGTATTTGCCTTTTACTACATATTTAAGTCAAAAGAAAGAGAAAAACCAAATTTTAAGATTCAAACATAACAGATTCAATATGATATTCATGATGGGTCAAGCCGTCTATTACCACAAGGAAGATATTTTTATATTTCTTGACAAAGAGCATGGTTTTACAAACACCTTACTTAAAGCAGTACATTTGGACATTCAGGAAAAGCTCTACTTATCTGGATGCAAAGCACTCGGACTGATATCTAAATTTGTAACAGCCCCACTTTGGAGAATTATCGAAGCACCTGGACACATTTTAGATATGAATGAACAGTACTATGCCCTAGTGACATTTTTGGATAAAGCGAGTAGTGATATTGATTTTACTTTGAAATTTATGAATGGTGAATGTACCCCGTTTGAAAATACCAGTATTGATGATAATGATAAAATCTCAAGATGCTTGTTAATACCCAATGAAGAAGTTGATGTAATCTTAGGCCCACTATTGCAGTCATTATTTACAGCCATAAAAGAACTGTTACTTAGAATGGTGCCAGAACACTTGCCAGGAGGCAAATTTTGGAATCCAGATGAATCTTTACTGGAAGAAGTTTCCTCAGCAAAAAAGCATAATAAACTTCCTGAATTCGTATTTGGACAGTTAGACCATCTAATATCCTACAGACCTAATGCATCCTTACTTGCAAATGAAGCATACATTATGTTCAGTTTCAACAAAACATCTACATGGTTGAGAGAACTTAGCGAGGATGAAAAAAACAGGCTTCTAGATGAATCCAGAAAAGAAGGAAGAGAAATAAGGAAAGAATTCATTTCAAGAACAAAATCCATAAGTGATGAGCGTTTCAGGTTACAAAAGCTAAAAAAACAAGAGATGGAGAGGTTGGAAGCGAGTAGGATTCAGCGAGCAGAGTGTATGACAAATGATGTGTGTTATTATGGTTTATGGCAGACAGTGGATCAGATTAAAGAAGGAATGGACAAGTTAAGTGGTAATGATAAAGAATTAAGATGTGCTCTTCAGACTCAATTAAAGTTTCGTAAATCAGTACTCCATCAGAAGCATTCCGACAAACAAATTTTCAATTTATCAAAGAAAGAACCAGGTGGCAAATATCGTAAATTATCAGTAAAAGAACTAAGAGACAATTTATGTGAATTAGTTAAAACTGCCTTGGATGCCGGTTCTAAGTCAGAAGTTTCTGCCTATGATGTGCCTTTATTAGTAGATAAAAGGATTTTACACAAATTTGCAGATGGACAAGAATATCCCGGTTATGTGATCAATGTTGTTCCAGGCTTCCCTCAATGGTACAATGTTAAATTTGATAATGATGATGCTATTTACTCATACAATTTGCATGAGGATTATAAGAGGGGGGACTTAAAACTGTCAGTTTCTCAGGAAAATGCTTAAACATTTTAAAGTATAATACTTTTTGTATTTTCAGAAGGCATTTGAGTTACTACATGTAATTTTACTATTCTTGCATTAAGATTGATATTTTTTATCATTGTATGTGATTTTTTATAATGTTATAATCAGAGATATTTATTATTTTTAGAAGAGAACGGGTGATTCTTTGTTTGTTTAACAATGATTTATTATATTATATACCTATATTTTTTTGTATTTGCATATGACTTTGATGACGTCCAGCCATGCCAAAAAAGAAATTATTTTGTCATGTGTAATCCCTGTGATTTTTTAAAGTTTTGATTTGTAGTTGGTAAATTATTTTGTCATGTGTGATCCCTGTGATTATATCATATATTGTTAATTTCTTAAAGTTTTAGTTTTGTTTTGTAGTTGGTAGTTTTCATATGATTGATGTTGATCATGATACATTTTTGTTTTCTGCTATTTATTTTACAATGTATGTTTTAGCATTGATATATTTATCTGTTTATGGGATATTAAAAAAGATATTGTTACTCATTGTTGCAAGCTAGCATATTGTTGATTTATTTTTTCTTAATAATTTATAACCATAGATATTTGTTTAATAATGTATCATTACATACAATTATGTATATTTTTTTGTATATGACTTCAATGACGTCCAGCCATGTATGCCAAAAAGTTTTATTAGGTTTGTTAAGAATATATCTATTTAAGAATATATCTATTTATTAGCCATGTGCCTTTAGCATTGATATTTTTTATCACTGTATGCAATTTTTTACTCATTGTTGTACATCTTTTTTTTTTAAATTTTATAACGAGAGATATTTGTTATTTATAGAGAAGGGGTGATTCTTTCTTTAATAATGTCATAACAATCGATTACTTATACATGTAACTTTTTGTATTTGCATATGACTTTGATGACGTCCAGTCATGCCAAAAAAGAAATTATTTTGTCATGTGTAATCCCTGTGATTATATCATATATTGTTAATTTCTTAAAGTTTTAGTTTTGTTTTGTAGTTGGTAGTTTTCATATGATTGATGTTGATCATGATACATTTTTGTTTTCTGCTATTTATTTTACAATGTATGTTTTAGCATTGATATATTTATCTGTTTATGGGATATTAAAAAAGATATTGTTACTCATTGTTGCAAGCTAGCATATTGTTGATTTATTTTTTCTTAATAATTTATAACCATAGATATTTGTTTAATAATGTATCATTACATACAATTATGTATATTTTTTTGTATATGACTTCAATGACGTCCAGCCATGTATGCCAAAAAGTTTTATTAGGTTTGTTAAGAATATATCTATTTAAGAATATATCTATTTATTAGCCATGTGCCTTTAGCATTGATATTTTTTATCACTGTATGCAATTTTTTACTCATTGTTGTACATCTTTTTTTTTTAAATTTTATAACGAGAGATATTTGTTATTTATAGAGAAGGGGTGATTCTTTCTTTAATAATGTCATAACAATCGATTACTTATACATGTAACTTTTTGTATTTGCATATGACTTTGATGACGTCCAGTCATGCCAAAAAAGAAATTATTTTGTCATGTGTAATCCCTGTGATTATATCATATATTGTTAATTTTTTTAAGTTTTATATTTTTGGTTTTGTAGTTGGTAGTTTTCATATGATTGATGTTGATCATGATACACAGTTTTGTTTTCTGTTATTTTTAGATTTAGGTCAGAAGTTTTCACCCAGAAAAATTCTGTAATTTATTTATTTTTGTTGATTTTAAGTTTTATTGATTTTGTTAATTGAAATAAAGATATTTTTATTGATCATAATACTTGTGATTTTCCATTCCTGAAACAACTATTTTTGTCAGGTAAAAAATGAACGCTGTCTGTGTGTTTTGCATGTGTATGTATCCAGGAAAAGACTGTGAATATTTTAATAGCCTCTAGACCTACAGTTGACCCGTGACCTTACACTTTCTGTATGACCTTGACATGGTATAGTCAAAAAATGCAATTCGAGTAGCTGATGCCTAATAAAAAAAACACGATAACAATGTGAAAACATTATTTGTGTATCTATCACATCAAAAAACGGGTTGGGTAAATATTTCAAAGCCCTGGGACTTCTACATGGTTTGTTATTAACTATCACGTCATTTTTTTGCTGTGACCTTGAACGAAAATTGTCTCGGTCGTAAGTTTGAGAGTCTGTAGCATACACACTATATAACCGAAGAGTCTCCCGATAATTTGATTCAATCCAGTACATCTTGAACTTCCAATTCTGCAAGTTTCGTGGATCTACCTATTATAGTGTCTGAGATATTAGCTTCGGTCAGGTTTTTTACGTTTTTAAAAAAAAGCCGTATTTTGGTGCCTCCAATTCGCCGTCTTCAAAATGCCATAACTTTTTTAATTTTCAATATTTTTTCAAAATTCTTTCAGATTATTGAATCTAAATAGTTGACGCTTGCAGTGCAATAATCATATTAGAGACATTTTGTGTATTTAAAAACCCTTTGGCAACGCTATAGATCTACCCAGACAGGGATACCAGAGAACTTATCCGCTCAAAGACTTCCGAAAGGATATTGGTTGTGGGGAATTCCCCTGGTCTTCATTTCCCCCACAGAATCTACAATCGCGAGAGCATTTTATTCAACATCAGAGTAGCCTATTTCTTTCTGATTTTTTTCAGAACGGAAACACTTGGTCCTGATCAAAAAAAGTTTACTTTCCAAAGTTATAAACTTACAATACTAACTACTAAAACTTACCGTTGTGAATTGCTATACTTTTATGATACATTGTTGCCCTTCTATCATGTTCTGGTCAAAGATTCTCGTTTCTTCTTTCGTTCATAAAAGCATGGTGCAATCATAGAAAATACCGGATTTATGGTGCAATAGTTTGACATTGTTTTTGTTTACAGTGAGGGAATCCCCACTTCCGGGTGAAGACTCGACTAATAAGTCTCTTTCGCATTATCACTTAACAAGGCAATAATTTGTCTTTGTCTGTTCTCAAAACTGTTCAACACTGCACAATATGGCATAGCATGGCCCCGGGGTTAGTCCATTATAGTTTTATAGAATAGGCTATTATGATATCACTAAATTAGGCTATTTCCAAACTTTTAGAATCATGGAATGGATAAAATGTAAAATAAACTATACACACACAGCTACTGAGCTAGTTCAAATCACAATCATTCATTCAATGCAGATTATAATTAATAGTTTATAAAGAGTCAAATTTAACCATGTTTACATAAAGCGTCTCCCAGTCAACAAAAGTCCTGTGGATAATTGGTCTGGGCTAAAGTGTCACTCTTTACTGATTCCACTACTGATGTCTTAACTGTCTTGTTCCAGCCATATTTGACAACAAAAAAAGTTACTGACCTAAAACTCCCTTCATTTCCAATTTAATAAACCAATTCCCATTGAAATAAAGGTGAAACAACCTTTGGTCTTCAAAGGAATTACTAGTGAGCAGAAATTCGCCCGTATATCCGTTATCATTCGTCACATCAGTCAGTTTTATAGAGAGGCGACTCGTGTTTTCCTTTGGCGTTCGTCACTTCCGATTCAGAAAAACTGTATTACTCAGCTATCGTAGCAATGATCTCTGACATAAAATTATATATGGAATGTGTTTAACCAGCTCTATCACATATGTGATAATGACTGGCACCAATATTGTCCTTTAAGTCTTGGGTAAAAATGGTTTTAACGCATTAAACGGATAAACCTATACGTTGTGATGTATAGGCCAACCTAAATTGAAACCGGGAAGATGTGGTTTTGATCGTCTGATGTAAATCTTTGGATTACAGGAAGTCACGATGGCTGAGCGGGTAAAGTGTTCGATCCCGGTATTGGGCGACAAAATAGTCTACATCGTTTTTTTTCAGAGTGCTTTACCCGTGTAAATGATGCAGGGCGGAGGGTCAAACAAGGCCTAGTCGTTCTTATACGACGAAAAACCGAGGTCACGTGTACATATTGGCGTACACGTAAAAGAATGATCTTATGATACAGTGCGCACGCGCTAACCATTTGCCCCCCCCCCCCCACACACACACACACACACCACCACCACCCGGTCGAAACGTCGCTCAATAATACACAATTTTATTCCATAGAATTGTGACCTGTATATCCAGTTCATTTACTAAATGTCATTGAAACAATTTGTCGGATTATTATGATTAACCAGCTTTTCCAATCCTTTATTTAGGTGGGGTTTTTACTTTGTTTGCTTTTCCGTTTAAATGACAACAAGTACTAGCTATTTATGTTTTCGATAAACTGAGAAAAGTACATTCTTTCGGTATTTTCACTAAGATATCTGCTTTGGTCGGCGTATTTGTATTATATCTTATTATATCTTAACGGGACATTACCGAATTGATGACCTACTGATTTACAGTGCAGCTTAAACTGTACACTAAATACGACAGCTTTTCAATATAATTATTGCTTGGATAATCGGTGCAAAAGCGAATACATCTTCAATAAAAGGCTTGATCTCTCTTTAACTCCGTACATCTCATGTTGTAAACCTCGCGGTCGTTGCTTCGGGTAGATGGAGGAAATAGAGATGATAACATAAAACAAATACATGTACATGTATTTCGAAATGCACTATTATTTAGATATCTGAAACGGACCCTTTAATTCTGATAAAAACAAAAATGAAGATCCAAAGGGGTTTGGTATGAAAGAAACAAACGATAACATGAAATACAAAACATCAAGTTTGTAAGTGGGGAGTGACAGAATTTTATTGTTCATTGCTCTCTTCCACTCAAAAGAAACTGTTGGTGAAATATTTAAATATAAACGAGAGATTAAATAAACTGAAGAATGGACAATATCCTACTACATCCTTTAAGACAGTTGTCTGTCAATATCCCTGCTAACAAACCAACGACAATTGACGTTTTGTTCGATAACAGTGGTCAATAAACAGGAAAAACATAGTTTAATTGTTTATGTCATTGTGTAATTAATTGAAGATAAACATAGAATTGTGGGATTGAGGATTAATCAGATATAAATTGTTTGAACTATAATCGTTTTGTTTATTTCCGGAATTAAGGAAGGTTGGTCGGTCGGATCTTCTGTTTGTTGTATTTTAATTGTGTATGCATGTGGATGCATTTTTTGATAGGTAGTCTTAAAACAAATCAATTTTTTTGAACAAGTACAATCTTACTATGGACCAGGAACTAACCATGTTTGTGGATGAAATTCAAAAATCTAATTCACCAGATCGATGCAGAATTGTTCAAAGAACAATCATGCCAATTTTCATGTCGATCGGACTTGAATTGACGGAGCCTTAGGCTTTTTCGAAGAGCGTTACCACAAGAGCGTCCAAAAGTTACGATGTATCAGATCATCAAGGAATGTTGGCTCAATGACCTTAGTCCGATAAGTGAACTATATTATGTACTAGATTATTTTAACGTGCAGTCACGGTTACCTTTCGCACCAAGTTTATGTCATCTTTTATTGTATTTTTAAATTAATGTATGTGTGACAAGAAAACCCAACTAAATCCAAAGTTATGTTTTATTATTTGCCGAGGAGGTGGAAACGACATTTAATTTGAAAACAAATTCTTCCTTGGCCTTTGGATATCTTGCAGCAGTAATGCAAAAACACGATTGTGCATTATTAAAGTACTAAAACACTTTCATAATGGGAATATTTTGGGTTTATAATGTCAAATGTAATGTCATTTTGATGATCTCATGCATTCCTCCTAATAATGCAGGTGTAATAAGCGTCTGACTGCAGATCATAAGCATCTGAGATCCTGTGAAGACGGTTGAAAAAATCAGTCATTTTTTGTCAGACATTCAGAACACGCATGACAGTAGATTATGAGAAATGTTTTAATGGAGAGAGAGAGAGATAGATGGGTTTAACGTCCACTCGACACAAACCAGGCCATTACGGGAATAGAATATGGGTTCAATTTTATTTCAATAATTCGCTTCCGCGGAGGGGTCTTTAGCAGTGGGAGGAAACCGGAGAACCCAGAGAAAACCCACCAAGTTGGACAGGCGTTCCTACTCCTGTTCACGTACAAGCGGGGAATCGAAACCACGCCAGTTGACTCGTGACAGACCTTTTTACAACGCGCACGCGCTAACCATTCGCCCCCACCCCACCAGGTTGTAATGGTCCTCACATCTTGCTTGTCAGTTTGAATAATATCTTAGGGAGCATCGATATTACTTGAACAATGATTTCGTTTCAGATCAGAATAAAAATCGATAATAGCAGAAAGTTAAGAATTATATTAACTAAACTAGGTTATGGGTGGCAAAAAGAAAACAAGATTGAGTCACAAAAAACAGAAAGCATCAAACATTACGACGATGACAGAGAATTTCTTTGCTGTAATGTAAAGTCGAATCGGGTTCTTTTTATATCTAATATGATGTTTGTTCAACTTGTTGAGATCTGTGCGATGATCATTTGGTATTGTCAGTTTGTATTTAAACAGGGACGTTTATCTCAAAATTCCCTTTCTTTCCCAGCCAGGATGAAACAATGATGTCCATTGTGATTGCTACACGTCTCATTATTTGCATAAAACCAGAGAGTAATCGAAATGTATAGATGCCTCCTCTTCCTGATTTCCTGGCCAGACATTATACGTCGATCAAAAACACCGGCTAACACATTAAAACAGGTACACCTTAGTTACTAGACGCTTTCTCACACACTGATCAGCGACAGCCATTATAGTATATTGCTTTATCCATTCATGGAATTTATATGGTTTGCTGATTACAGGTAAGTAAAATAGTAAAAATACTGCTTTTAGTGATTTAAGTTAAATTTAGATCCATTGGCCCGGCTGAGCTAAATACAGCGCCGATGTGCGATTGAACCCCATTAATTTCTTGCAGTGACTATAGATATATAAATTCTATTTACATGTATAATATTGGACATACAAATTTTATGTATAACATAAGGTTATTCACCGTTTATTATGATGGTCTTTTTTAAAGCTTAATTAGAATCTGCATCTGTCTACTTAGTACTGATTTAGTTTAGGAAATGGTTACAAATGGCGGTATAAGTAATATGGGATCTTGACGCCCAAGGTACGCTAATTTTAAATTCGTGACATCCCTTTTGGTACAGTAATGGCTCTAAAGAGTACAGAATATTTCTAAAGAGTACAGAATATATACGCAAGAAAACTCCAAGAACTCGCATTGTTTTCCTTTTGCCCATTTGCATTTGATTGTGAACATTCTGATTTCCTTTTACAGACGAAAATAATTTCAAAATACCTGATATACATGTACATTTTTGGGCACAAGAATAATTTGGGTATTTCTATATGGCGACGATTTATGTTTAATTGTGCAACGTTTCCTGTGATAAATACCGCAGTTCCCAATATCGAAAGCGGAATTTGTGTACCCGACTGGTAGGCTTACCCTTTTAAGAACACTTTAATCCAAACGAATTTAACACGTTAACAAGGTTATATATAAACAATGTTGGGGGTTTTTTTAGTATTTTTTTTTATCGATTTTACAAGGGAATATATTATATCGGGTAAATTTTATCGCTTTTTGTACTTATATAGCTACGGTAATATTTTTGTTTGGAGTTCTATGTTAACTTCTAATTTTCCGCCTTACAAGGAATAGCTTCTAGTTGTTCGGATGGGACGAAAAATTAATGTCCTGTGTACACGCTGATGTTTAGGTAAAAGAAACCTTCACAGTTAGTGTTAGGCCCCGGCCGTGCAGTTTAATGTCCACTCGACTCCAACTAGGTATTTCGGGACTAACATATAGTTCAATTTTATTCCAATAATTCAATTCGCTTGAACGCAGGGATTTTCATTTATAGCACGGTTGGTAATACATTTTATTTCATTTTCTATTTTTTTTTTCGTTCGGTTTGTATCCAAGAGGACAAGTGCACGAATTTAAAATATCTTTCGATGAAAACCTGATATTTTCTCACCAAGTGGGCGTATTAACAGAACAATACAATTATTACTATTAAGACTTGTTCCTGTGTTGCTGTATTTACTTGTATTGAAGCGAACTATTGTCTATTTCTAACAGCAAGTATTTACATCCATTTTCACACCTTCATCACAGTCAATATTGTATCAAGTGTCGGGGTTTTTAAACTA